TCCTGGAGCACCGACCACTTTGGGGCAATATCCGTCTGTGTCAGGGTAGTTTGAGGGCCCAGGTCACATCCAGTATCTAGAAACCTGGCTTCGCAGCTCCGAGGGAGTCGTTTCGAAGCACATGTGAGCCACAATCAAAACCCGGGTAGATGAAGGCTAGCAAGTACTCCCAACCATAAACAGCTGATCTCCGCCTTCTTGATTCTTGAAGCATGGTTCTGGGTAGACCATTTTAACATAGGGTTTTGATTATGACTCATGCGACGCAACGACATGTATTGCGTTTCCCAGTGCCCTGGCTCAGGGCGAGCGCGCCGTTAGCTGCTCTTTGGTTTGACCTACCGCAATAAATTCCAGGCGAACCTTCGACCTTTGTTGTTTTGGAGTAGCATTTCCCAACAAGGTTGACCTGCTGAAAATACACACATGGGCCGTTATTTTCCGACCGGCAAAAACTTTTGGGGGCGGTTCGACCAAGCTAGGGCCGTCCAGTTGCTTGCGTTCGTTTGGGTAGGGTAAGACATCTGCTGACTCACAGACCTAGGCCCCGACACGTGGGGAAAAAGAGGAGCCGCGGGTGGAGCCCGCGAGCTCCAATTGCAAGTTGACCTCGAACAAAGCGATCGCTCTCCACGGACAACTCTAGGGGTTGATTCCACATTCTTTTCAACCATCGTTCTTTTAAACAACCAGCGGTTTCCACTGCGTTTTGGGTGGTTTTCTGGAAGAAGGATCCCTGGAAAGAATGGGGAAGCTACCCCTAGGACAATGCACAAAGAAGCAAAACCATGCTTGGACTGGGAGTGCAACCGAAAGTCCAAACAACTGGTTGCCCTAAAGGAAAGGAAAGTGCCTGGACACTCAAACTACCAACCGTGAACTGATTGCCCTAAAGTCTAAAGGAAACTAACGCAATCCTTGGTATTGTTGGTCACGTCTTGCCCGGATGTCGCACGAGCTGAAGCGTGCCATAGCAGCAGGGATTGGGGAATTGGGGGGGGAATCTGGGGGTCAGGTAAGGCTATGATAGCTGGCTCAAGATGTGACATCGTCACAAACCCCTAGGCAATGATAAGGCTGCCCATTCAGGGAAATCCCATGGCCCATGTGGCGGAGTTTTGACCACGCAGAGAAGCAAAGCGAATTTACCCGAGAATCTTTCGTTACTGCTCTGTCTTCTTGTTGTTTCTGTTCATATTCAGTGGTGCTGCAAAGAACGATGATGTTCAGATACTGGGGGTTGGCAAATTGGCAAGGCGACGTATGGAGATCCTTTTGGAATCAACGTATTCTCAGTGCCCAGTGCCCAGCAAAATGATGATCGTTTTTGAGCCGCGGGCAATTAGTACCAGGTGCCAAGAGACGTGATGGTGCAAGACTGGGAGGGCTTTTTGGGCCATTGTGATACCAAGGGAATCTCCTTATACAGTAGTAGACTTTGGTAAAAGGGCATTTTTTTTTCACAACCATGGCAAGGGGTGCTTTTTTTTGTCACAGGCACCCGGATCTTGCCAAGGGCTACGAAGGGATTTGGGGTATGGCGCCTTTTGTGAGGGTGATTTTTCGTTGGACGCATGTCCGTTTTGAGATTTCCCTGACACAAACCCATTTTGTGCCCCTTTTTTGCGGTTTCACAGTTGGGACGCTTGATATTTTTTAATTTCAACAGCGACGCCAACTGCTTGACAGGGCCTTCGGAGCACAGGTCGGATGCGGCAGGGTCAATTCCACCTGAAGGCTCAATTTCACCTGAAGGGTGAGATCAGTGGATAGGTCAACTTCTCATTCAGGGTGATAGGCCAGGGTCAAAATTACCTTTCAGGATGCTTTGATTTCAGTTGGTTTGCGGGCCTTTGCGCTCGGTCCCAGGCGAGCGCTGCTGGCCGAACACCACGGACCGAAGCTTCACGGGTCTTTGACGCTCCGTGCGGACGGATCTTCTTCGGTGCATTTTGCCAAGGGATGTTAGGACTTTAACTTTTTGCCAACAAATTGGGTTTTTCCCCTATTAAACCACTAAAAGTGAGTCACTTTTAGCAGGGGAGCAGAAAGCAACCGAGTCTTGGTTTTGGGCCAACATGTTCCCTGAGGAGTTTTAAGGCATGTCGACGGTAGGGGTTGCTTGTTTTCCTATGGACATTGCCAGTCCCTCTCTCTGGAAGACCATTCGAGAGGCGGACCCAATCAGCACCTTTCGTCGGTGCGACCAATTCCAGGTAGGGCTGGTCGCCTCCAAAATGAAGTTTTACTAGGTTCCTCAGTAGTGCCTTTTTACTCTTTTTTGCAGGAGGGTTCCCGTACTAAAATAGACTACAGAAGAAAGGGTACCCTTATTCTACCCTCTCTACTGGAGGACCTAGTTTATTTCAGACCAAGTTTGACGCAGAATCTGAACCTTTTGGTGTACCCTAGAGATGGACCAGCGCCAGGCTGTTCGGCCGGGGACCGGCTGTGAGCAGTTGGGCCAAACAGGTTAAACCCCCAGCATTTCTAGGGATCC